TGGGAAGCCACCGCGCTGGGAAGGAAGAGGACAAAGCGTCCCCTTTCACACAGAAGAAACTGCACCTTAAAAGCCTTGGAAGAATGCAGATGACAAAAACTGTGGTGAGGACAGGAATCTCCCCCCCACCGCCCCCACTGCCCCATCTTGGAACAAACAGGGCTCCGCTACAGAGCCAGCAGCCCCCTCCCTTCCTACCTTCAGGGCACACCCCCCCCCCCAGGAAATATTCTTAATGCAGTAGGAGGAGGGTCTTTGATAACCTCTTGGAATTTTCTTTACTTTGAGCACATGAAGCAAGCAAGGAAGGGAGCATCTGTGCAGCCTGTGACATAGCAGCTTAGAGGGGGAACTTTTCAATCCTGGCTTTCCTCGTATTTGGAAAAGAACGCGCTTAAAGACGTGACTTTGTTTTTATTGGGCAACAGAGAAACAATGTAAAGTTTAACATCCTCAGCTGACCCTTCCTCCTAGAGGCTCGCAGGCCATGAGCCCCGGCAGACCAGTGGCTCTGCTGTGAAGGAAGGAGGCATGGTTGCTATCCCCCGTGTCTCCCCCTCCCCCCCATGGACTAGGTTTTTCCAAACCAAAGGGAAACAGATAGATCGGTCTGGGTCTGGGTACGCAGCCCTCCGTGTGGTGGGTGTGCAGCCTGACAACACTTGCGGGAGATCTCCGCAGAGAGGGAAGGATGGAGATGGATATCTTTGGCGAGCCCTGTGTGGTACCTGCCATGCAAGCTGCCTCTGAGCGCTGTGCGTGCCAGCAGCACAGGCTTCCTAATAAGCTCGTCAACTTTAGGGAGAAAGCGGTGGCAAAAGGCATTCGCACTTGCAGAGATAACCAAGTCTGAGCTGGCTGACTCCGCATGGAGGGTCTCTGAGGAGAGGCCGGCCCCCAACTTCTCCTCTCAGAGCAGCCACCTCCTCCACCTCCTGAAGGAGGGCCTGCCTGAGTGTCTCCTCCTGGTCCCTTCAGCATCTCTGAACCTGGAGCAACTCGTGGGTCCCCTACTGCTCCTCAGCATCACCACCAGCACTGCACTCCCTCAGGGAAGTGGTAGCCAGGGAGGGCTTATCTGAAACAAGGAAAACCATCTCTGCTCATCTGATTGTTTCTGCTCTAGGACCCACAGTCCTGAAAACAGCCAGCTTGAGCCCCTCTTTCTATCACTGGACGTCAGAGACCAAAGGCGTTTGTAAAAATCTCCCCCAGGCCCCCAAGATCTCCCCAAACCTGTAGCTGAAACTTTGCAGAACAATCCCACTTAACTTTCCTTCTTCCTTCCATCCCCTTGCTTCCTCCACTCAGAATTCAGTGTTCATGGAAGCCGGGAGTCCCCGGGAGCGCTGCCTGCAACAGGGGCTAAAGCAACAAACTTTGCAAGTTACCACCACCCGGGGCTGTGCCAGGGGCGGCGGCAGCGGCATCCCCCATGCTCTCTTCTGACTCCGGGCTGTGTGGAGATAGTGGGGTATAATCAGGGGAATGGGAGGGGTTGGGGGTGGGTGTTCCCCTCCTCTCCAGCTTCAGTGAAAGTGTTACAAAGTGAGTCAGGCGACTGAGGATCATCTGACTGAACTTCTTGAAACCGACACACATTCTTGTGTGCGGCAACTTGCTTTTTGCCTCCTTCCCCCCCTCACCCCTCTCCCCTTTCCCTCCTGCACATCTTATTTTCTGGGAAGAGATTTCATGCTTTCTATGTGGGCCAAAGGGGACTGTCCACTATGGATTAACTTGGCCCTGGCACTGCCTCTGCCAGGCATCTTTCTAGCCGGAGAACACAAAAGGCTAGATTTTTAGTTTCTCCTTTCTCTCTTTGTAAATTTATTTTCCTCTAGCTGCCTCCGGCTCCTTTGCTTTTTAATAATCGTATACAGCCCCGTCTTCTATCTAACCCACGTTCTCGACCGGCCTTTCACACACTCACACACTCCACACACACACACACAGCTTTACACGTTTTATCTCCTTGTTGCCTTAGTCTATATATACACTGTAGACTTCATTAAAATTATATAAAGTGCAATTCTAGTTCCCTGGATGACCATCTTTTTTTTTTCCCCTTCTCTTTTCTTTGCAGCTTCTACTTCTATGATTAGTATTGCCATTATTTCTTTCCAGGAATTCCTATATGATTTTGATAAGCATCATCATACTTAGTGTTATCAGCAAAGACACAAGCTCAAAAGTGACATATTTTCCACGAATCCAGGAGAGAAGAAAAATCCACTCAGTTCAGATAAATCCTGGCGATTCCCAAAGGAAAAGGCATTGGACACATACTTGACGAGAAAAAAAATGGGGGAAAAAAACTCTTCTACCTGCTTCTGAAAACTAGGACATTGCCCGGTCAAATGAAACCCAAAGCAAAACACATATAAGCCACCAACTCACAGAGATTGCTCGGAAAGAGAGACAGGTAACAGCCAAAGTTCAAGAAGCCCTCAGAGACGGGCAGGCTTGCTGTGCAGTGTGCAGAGACTGGGCGAAATGCCTTACAACGTGCGATTCAACTTTCCATTTCAGAGTGCTGTGGCTTCTCCCAAGGGAGAGGCTGGGCGGAGGGGAGATGGGTGCAGGGCCCACGACTCAGGCAGAGCCCCTCCCCGGTGCTGGTGCTCAGTCCACCTGTACAGCCCCCCCCCACCCCCCCCCCCCCGCAGGCCTCCCTCTCCCAGCGCCACCCCCTCCTCCCTCTCCCCAGCGGCTCCCAGGAAGCCCGGAGCCCTCCGTGTCCCCAGACCTGGGCTCCGGCCTGACCTCACTCCTGGGGCCAGGCTGGTCAGCGGTGGCAGAATCCCCGAAGGAGATGGGAGGGGGCGGGCGAGAAGAAACAAAAATTTCAAATAGTCTCTTCTGCAAAGCCACACTTCTGGGAACCTTGCTTTAAATGTCATTCTCCTTTTCTCTCTCTCTTTCTCAAAAATAATAATAATAATAATAATAATTGTTTAACACAAGGGGAAAAAGCCTCCTTGACACAAAGCTTTTGTTATCCAGTTGATCAGCAACGTGCTTTAGATACTTGTAAGGGGGGGGGGGGCACAACAGACATTGATTTTAGAAAATCAATAACTGACGTTTAATAAAAGGGAGAGGAAACGCGGGAGAGGAGAGGGGCCGCTAGGTGTGATGTTAGTGGCTCCTAAATTACCCTGGGATGGGAAAGGGGAGGTCTCCTGCGGAAGGACCACCTTAAACACTGCCAGACACTAGAGTGAAGGAAAAAAAAAATAGAGAGACAGCCTGAACTGGAGGTTGGGGAAGCAGCTCAGAATATATTATTATAGTTGTTTTTTTTCCTCTCTCTCTCTTTTTTTTTAATACCAAGCCAAGCAAATAGATCAAAGGCAGCACAAAGGGAAAAGGCAGGATAACATAACGAACAGTTTCTGACTAAAATTCCTCTATCACTCTCCCATATGGCTCGACACCTCCGCCACAACAAGCAAAAGACACACACACACATACACACACACACACAAAACCTAGAGAGAGAGAGAGAGACAGAGACAGACAGAGACAGAGGAACAGAGAGAGAGAGAGAGAGACAGGGAGCAGCATCATTTGTCTCTAATCAAATGTCTCTAGTCTTTGTGTTTCTTCCCCTCCAGCACCCCACACTGCGCCCCCAGCGCCCCTCCCCGCGCCGCGCGCTCAGGGCAGGCGGGCCCCCCTCACCCCCTCCCCCGCACGATCGTCTTCCCGGGAGGAAAGTTGCTCCCAAGTGGGGCCCGGGGACCCCGCGGGGCGCGGGCAGGGCTGCGGGCGGCGGGAGGCCGGGCGGCGCCGCGGCCCCGGGTCCGGCTCCGGAGCGTGACCGCGGCCCCCGCGCCGGCGCCCCGGCCCAGAGCGCGGGGAGCGAGAAGTTTCCTTCCCCGGGCTGAGGGCTGAGCTGGCGCTAGTTCGCGTGTTTGTTTTGGGGGGCTGGCTTTTCTTTCAAACTCCGCATCCTCCGTCAGCTCCCCCGGCCCATCTCTGGTCCCGGGCTCTCTCCCTCCCCCAGGCGCCTCCTGCGCTCTTGCCAATCACTTTTCTCTTTTATTCCCACGATTTTGTTTGGGGGTAATACCTAGGGGGTCTCTCTCTCTCCCCCTCTCTCTCCTTTACTCTCTCGCTCTCTCTCTCCCTCCCTCTTCTCTGCCTCTCTCCAAGATGGACCTACTAAACTGACACCGCTTCCATCTCCCACCTTCTGTCTGTGTGTCCCCCTCGCACCCCCATCTTCTTCCTCCTTCCCGGCGCAGCCTGGATAGCGGGCTCCCTCCTGACCGCTAGAAAACTGTCCAGAAAAGTCGCCCTGTGTCCTCCGACCGGCCGACCGCCCCCCGGCGAGGGGCCAGCTCCCCGCTGGGGAGAAACCACCCGCCCCCCAAGCCCGCCCGGACCCCGCCGGACCCCGCGCGGGGCGGCCGGAGCCCTCCCACCGCGGAGCCGCGGGCGCGCCCAGCCGGCCCCGCCGCCCGCGGACCGTTACTTGGCTCAGAGAGAGGCAGCGGGGCGACTCCGGGAAGAAACTTTGTGCCTCGTAGAGGCACGGCCCCGGGCCCCCTCTCCTTCCCGAGCCACCGTCCCCGAGCCGCCCCCAGCCCCCGCCCCTGGAGCCTGCAGAACCGACCGGGCGCCCGGGCCCCCGCCCTGCCCAGCCGGACGCTCCGCAGCCCGGGCGGCCGTGGAGCCGGCGGGCCGGGAGCGAGCGGAGCGGGAGGCGGAGACGGGGGGCGCGAGGGGCGGCGGGGATGGGGCGCGAAGCCCCCCGTGCGGACCCCGCCGCGCACTTGCCGGGCTCTTCCCCAACTCCCCCCGCCGGTCCCCGCGCGCGGGGCTCGGGCGCCGGCCGCCGGGGGAAGAGGCTCGCCCGCCCGCGAGCCCCGGGCGCCGCCGCCGCCGCCGCGGCCTCGGTCCCTTCTCCCTCTCCCCCCGCCCGCCCCGCTCCCCGGGTCCGGAGCCGCGGCGTGGCGGCCCGGAAAAGTTTGGTTCGGGCCGGTTCTTACCGTTTTTCCTCCTGGGATTGGCTTGTTTGCGCCTCTTGCACCGGGGGCCATCCGCCATGATCGGCTGCTTCATTGATAAGAGCGGATCAGATGGCAGTTCGCATGGACTCGGCGCCCTGCTCCGGCGGCAGCACGCAGGCGGCTCGATCTAGCAACCAAACACACGGCGACAATGTGGGCATCGCCCGCGCCCATCGAGGCGCGCGCGGGCCGCCCCGGGGAGCCGGGCCAGGGCCCCGGCCAGCACCCATCCGCGCCCCCCCCCCGCACCCCTCCCCGCGCCAAAGCGAAACTTCGGCGGCCCCCTCCCCGCCCCCAGCCCCAGCCTGGCGGGCCCCGAGGCGCTTTGTGTGTGTGTGTGTGTGTGTGTGTGTGTGTGTGTGTGTGTGTGTGTGACTGTTGTTTGGTGTGTCGCACCCGCGAGGGGATCGGAGACCAGAATTACATCTTGCACATGAGTCATGACTCCTGCCCGCCCGCAGGAGGGAAGGCACACGGCGGTGCAGCCAGGCGGCCGGGTTCAGGGATCAGGCGGACCCTTTGCTCCGAAAAGTCCGCAGCCAGCCTCGGGGACTTGGGGTGAGGAGGCGACGCTGCTTTCTTTCGCTCTGATCTGGTCTCATCCACCCCCCACTCACCCACCCCATTCCCCAGAGAGGAAACAGACAGACAGACAAACAAGCAAACAAACAAACAAACGCGAAAGCCACCCCCGGAGGAAGCACACCCGGACACATTGGAGAGGGAATAGTAATGATAGGAAAGCCCCCAAGCCCCCGACCCCTCCCCTTCTCCGCTTTCCCAGTGGATCCAGGCACCTTCTCTTCTTCCCTCCACCCCCCCCCCACCTCGCCCCCAAATTGAAATTTTTCCCGTTTCACGGCAAAGTAAGAAATAGAATTATAAGCCTCTCTGGACACTGGACACTGTTTCTCCCCCCCTTACCCCCCCACCTCCGCCACTTTGACAATATTTACTTATTTCCCCCCACCTCACTCACACACATACTCCCCCCCCCACACACTGGTTCCCTTAAATAGTTCCAGAAGAAGAAGAAGAAAAAAAAATTTTTTTTCTCTTTCTCCCCCTCAAGAAAGGAAAGAGAAAGTCCAACCGCCACGGCGATACTTTTAAGCTTCTACTCCCACTAAAGGACCGTATCCTCTCCTGGCTTCGAAACTTTTGTACCTAAAAATCGAGAGAGGCGCTGCATTTTTTTTTTCTCTCTCTCCTCCAGCGGAAAACTGTCAAAACTTGGAGAAGGGGAACCTCGGAGGCAGGCAGGAGAGGAGGAGGAGGAGAATCCTGAAACTCCGTGGGGCTGGGAAGATGCTGTGCCTCGAGGATTAGTTTAAACAGGGGGCTATAAAAGATGTAACAGATGCAAACTGTAACACAGGGCCGTTAACCCTTCCTCCGCCGGCCGGGCCGGCCCCCCGCGCCCCGCACCTATTGTCTCCCGCGCTGGAAGCTTTGCGGAAAACCTGGAAAGTGAGTATCAGTTTCCACACGTTTGCCGAGAGGGGTGGGGAGGTGGGGGGGGGGGGGAAGCAGAGAGAAGGGGAAGTGAATTATTTAGAAAGCACCTTGAATTTAACCTAGGCAGAGTGGGAGAGTTTGCAAGTTGGACACATTTTGTCATTTCTTTGCTCTCCCCTGGATTTGAAATTGTTGTTTGTTTGTTGTTTGTTTGTGGGGTTTTTTTTGGGGGGGGGGAGAAAAAAATCCTGAAATACAGAAATGGTCACCCAAGTGTCTGGGGTGAAACAGCTGGCCTGCCTGTATTCCTGCTGAGACTTACACAGGATTGCATATAAATACATGTTTAATAAAGTAAGCTGCTAGTTTTATGAGAGTGTGTGTGTGTGTGTGTGTGTGTGTCCAGGCATTATTGCTGTAAACTTTATCTTTGCCTGTTATTCCCAACTCTGGAGTTAGTCATCATTACAGGGGGAACATGCAGAGAATACATGGACAAGTAGGTGGGAGAGCCACGCAGTTATGCTAGCAAGGCTCACTCCTGTTCCTGGGAACTCCTGCTCGCTCTTGGTTTTTCAGTGCCCAAGCATGGAATGGGAGAAGTGTGTGTGTGTGAGTGTGTGTGTGTGTGTGTGTCTCCTGTTCAACCTCTCTGTATTACTGTGCCATTTAGAACACAATTTCAAAAGTTACCCTGAATATAAAGCCCTGCTATCCTGACAGCAGTTTTTGTCCCAGCTGTAGTGACCCCCCCACACACACACTTTGGTAACCGACTCAAGTTCCATGAGGACTTTCACTTCTTTATTTATCATCACAGAAGTGAGGTGTTACTTCACATACATACACACACACAAAGAATGAAATAAAGAAATGAAACTCACTAAGCAGACAGAAAACAGACACGTTTTCTGCTTAGAAAACAAGCCTTCTCCGGTGGGAGAGGAGGATGGACTGCCATCTCTCAGAGAAAGACTCGCCCCCAAATTTGGTAGGTTTGTATCCATCAAGTTTTGTAATTATTCGCAGGTATCTGCTAAGTTTTAATTGCTGAGACCAATGCATTGCACCTCGGTGCGGAAAATAGCACAGAATGTCTCCCCTGGAAGAGTTTTTATTCCAGTCATACAGTTCTCGATAAAACTTTTCGTAAGCTTGGGCAGCAAAAGGCACCTTTGGTTACCTGAATGGACAGGTACAGGGCAAAATACCTGGGGGAGGAGGAGAAGGGGAAAGGAAGCAGGGAGAGCAGGAGTGGGAGAGAAATCGGAGAAGTCACTCGTGGGAAAAGCTCGCCCAAAAGGAGCTAAACCCACCTGAAATTCTTACCCACAGGCACTCCTTCTCTCTTCACACTCACATCCCACTTCCAAGGAGAAAATCATAGAAAGGAGAGTGGGGGTGGTCATACCAAAAGGGAATAAAAAGAGAGAAAAGAGAGAAAAGAAAAAAAAAAACCTACCTGCGAAGTCTTGTTTGTAGTTTTGGCGAGAAATGGTGAGAAGAAAAAGCATGAAGAAGCCGCGTAGTGTGGGGGAAAAAAAGGTGGAAGCGAAGAAACAGCTCCCGGAGCAAACTGTACAAAACCTCGCCAAGAGTGCGGGAGGCAGGACCGTTATTCCTGCGGAGCAGGTTAGAACTGATCTCTCTGAGCCACTCCAGGAAACACAAACCTGGGGACGGACTGACGTGTTACGCCTCTTCTAATGACATTTTTTTCTTTTTCTTTTCTGTAGGAGAGAGAGAGACCCTGAAACACGCGCCACCTATCTTTGTGGGGAGGGATAATTGAAGCGCCCTGAGCGTGAGCATCATGTGAAAACGTGATCGCCAAGTTTCTCTCTGGGAAAGGATCTGGGATAGATTATACCTTGAAGTCTCCGCAAACGCTTTAGTGGAAGAAATGAAATTCCACCTCCCTCCCTTCCTCTCTCCCTCCCTCCCTCTCGCTCGCTCCCTCCCTCCCTTCTCCACGCCCCCCCTCCCCCCCAAGCCTTTGGCATCATTATCCTCACCACTAAATCCTACAGAGTTCTGGGCGGAAAGCGGTGCACACCATTCACTGAACTGGAGTGTTCTAAGGGGTGAAAGTTGAAGAGGAAGATCCCGGTCCTCAATCCGGATCGCCTCTTCTTATATGGAGATCTCTAATGACTAGATTTGAGATGCACATGGATTTCTCAGCACAGCTTCTGGAACTAAATTCCCTGCCCTTTCCCTTATTTTTCTTTTCTTTTCTTTTAGATGCCAGAGCCAGGAAAGGGGTGGGGGTGGGGGAAAGCTACATGTGAACTGCATCTTAGGGTGTGTGTATGTGTGTTGGGATGTATGTACGTGTGCGTGTAGGATGAATTTCTGGATCGGATCCCCAGACTAAAAAGTGGTCTGGCATTTTAAAAAGAGGGTCTCTAAGTAATTAACAGAGAGCTCTGGGTTGACAGATCTCTGAATCCCTCTACATCTCCTGGAGACACTACTATAAAGTGTGTAGTGAGGCAGGAGGAAAAGGAGAAAGGCCATAGAGGAACTTAGCAGGGAAGGAAGAGCTTGATATTAAACAGCGTGGGGGCTAAATTTTGGAGTATGTATATTTTTTTGATATTGCAATTAAAGTAAAATTAAAAAGAAAAGACTCCACCTTTGCTCTGAAGGGATTGGTTATGTAAATATGGAAGGGATTTCCTGGAGAATACAGCTTTCTACTGTATGGTTAATTAAATAATCACTCAAAAGCTTCCAATGTGACGCTTCTGTCGTAATCCAATCAGGTTACATAGGTCCTAAACAAGAAAGATATTTTCCACATCTGGAAGTCAGCAATTTAGCAAGTACTGCACATTATTAACCAATTCAGAGCCCACTTCCCAGGGGAATTTTTTTTTTTTTTGAAGTTTAAGTGTTCTTAACCAATGCTCTGCTGTTTTGTTAATCAAAAAGCTGGTTTACACTGCACATAATTGGAACTAATATAGAAGTAAATAAAGACAGCCAAATTTGAGGATGCTGAGCACAAGCATTTATCGGAAAAGGAAGAAATCTCTTAGCCTCCAATGGTTCAGGCTCAATTTCTTAAAGAACTATGAGGCTTTTTTTTTTTTTTTTTTTAAAGAGTGAAAGTGCTTGCGAACCTCAGAGCACAAATAAACTCCCAGCCCCACAACCTTAGGCATCCAAGCAAAGGTAAAGGTAGTGGTGTCAAGGGGGCGAAAGAAGAGCCTCATGCCATTTTGGGGGGGCTTTCATATTGTTAATAGGTCACAACCCTCCCCCCCCCTTTCAGTCTGATGAAATCTGAAATAAATAATACCCTGGTCCAACACTAGACTTTTACTTACATGAAGATAAACTGCTTTGAACTGTGCTTTGAATGTGTGCCTAAAGCAAGACTTTGAATGTAAGAGTCACTGGCAATTGCACTCAGAGGAGGGAAAAGCCACCACAAGGGTTGCCACATCCACACTCCCAGAGGTGCAAGTCTCTGTATTTTGTATGTTTGTTTATTTTTGTGTGTGTGTGTGGGGTGGGGGGAGGGAAGGGAGCTGGGACAGCCACCAGCACGACTGCAGCCAATTCTTACTTTAGGCTGCAAGAAAGTCAGTTCTCACTGCTGGTTACAGACTCACCTCTTCTCCTAACTTGAATATTTATTACAGGGAGAATAGCTGGATCAATTAATCTTCTGCCCACCCCATTACAGAGACATCACCTATAGAGGAGGAGCAATCAAGCTTGTCAGTCTAAAAATTAATAATAAAAAAAAGAAAATTATTAAAGGTCTCCAACATGGGTTAGACACATTCTCGATTTTTCTGTTTTACATTTCTTTCAACATTATACATATACTGAATACGTATAATAATAGGCTTATCAAGACCCTCTTCTAAGGTTTAAGTCTATTATTAATATCCTTTTTTTTTTTCCTTCCTCTTCCCATTCTCTAACCCTCCCTCCCCTCCTTAAAAAAAAAAAAAAAAAAATTAGAGG